TTCACGCAAATTCTTCTGCTAGTTGGGGTTTAGTCCAAATCTGCATCCTTTCCTTCAAGGCTCAGGGGTCCAAGATTATCTTCTGTGTCTGTGTTAATTGCTTTCCCTTTTCTTTGTTGAAAAGGGTCTGTGCAATCCTTCTGCCTAGTCCGCCATCTTGCCCCGCCTCCCTAATTTTTCTTTTTTTAAATCACAAAAATTATCAAATCATGTTAAGTACTTTTCAGGGAACTAAAATAGGCTGATGTAGTATAGAATGAGTGGATGGCTACTTTGGATGGTCAGGTGAGGCCTGTCTAAAGGAAACATTATAAACCTAAATCTGAATGACAAAAATCTTGAGATGTTCATGGGCCAGAGTCTTCCAGTCAGAGGGAGAAGTAAGCTTAGAAGCCGTCAGTCTAGAATGAGCTTGGCATTTTCCAGGAAAAGAAAGGACTGTGAGGCTACATTTTAGTGGGAATGTAGAAGAAGGAGGAACAAGAAAGTGAGAGCGTCCAGCGGAGGTTAGGTTTTTTTGAGTTATGTAAGTCAGGATAAGAAGTTCAGATTTTATTCTGTGTGATTTGAGAGCCGCTGAAGAGTTTTATGCAGGGAGTGATCTGATCTGCTTTATCTTTTAGGAAGATCACTCTAGCTACTGTTTGAGGAATGTGATGCAGAGGGGCAAGGAGACCAGTTATGAGGCTATTGCACTGGTCCAGTTGAGAGATGATGGTTGCTTGGACTAAGATAGTGGAGATGGCGAGAAGTGAAGGGACTTGGGACATATTTGGAGGTATAGTGGAAGGTGGTGCTGATTGTTTGCAAATGGAAGTATGGCAAAAGAGAGAAATTAAGGAAAATCCTAGATTTGTACATCAAGCAACTAGACAGATGAAAGTGCTATTTACAAACATGGGGAAAGCCAAAGAAAGAACAAGTGTGGGCTTGGGAAAGGAGAGAATTATTGTTTTGCCATATTACATTCATAACACCTATTTTTTCTTCTCAGCAAATATATATTTAGTAGATATCAGCCATTTCTTTGCTCTGGGAATATCACATGAACAATAAGACCAAATTCTCTACCCTGTTGGAGTGTACATTCTATTGGAGGGTTCTAAAAATAAAATATATATATATATATACATTATGTAAATGGCAGTAAGTGTTATGGAGTGAAATAAAATAGGGAGGAGGGGAATAGAGAATGCTGGGATAAAATCTGTAAAAAAAAGTGTGATCAGAACTGGGAAGTCTTCACTGCAAGGTGACATGGGAAGGAAGAAAGAGAGTGAACTTTGTAGATAGATATTTCCTGGAAGAACCTCTAGGTATCAGGTTGGAGGTATCAGTCAAGTGGAGATTGAGATATGAGTCTGGATTCCAAGTAGATGTCAGAGCTGAAGATACAGACTTGTGGATCATGTATATCAAGAAATGAGACCTTGTAAGATCACTAAGAAGGGAGCTCTGGTGGTGTAGTGCCTAAGACACTTGACTGCTAACCAGAAGGTTGGAGGTTCAGTCCCACCAGCCACTCCTCAGAAGGAAGGTTGGGCAATCTACTTCCATAGTGATACTGCCTCGGAAACCCAAGGAGGGGTTGCTATGAGTTGGGTCCGACTCCACAGCACATAACAACAACAACAAGATCACTAAGAAAGAGTGTGTAGGTGGTGAAGGAGCCTCTGTTGCTCTCCAATATTTGGGGCTGAAGAGAAAACAATAGCAAAAGAGGCAAAGAAGAACCAGTTATTGAAGTAAGAGGAAAACTAGGTAAATGTGGTAGGAAAAAAAATGTGATAAACAGCAACCACAAGAAAACCACAAGAGGCATTTCAAGAAGGAGAGATGGTCAACCAACCAGTTGGATACTGCTAAGATAAGAACAGAGATGAGATCATTGGATTTGGCAACATGGAGCTCACTGGTGACCTTGAAGAGAGCAGTGTAGGTGATGAGATGAGGAGAGAGGAATGGAATTAGTCAAGGAAATCCAACAACTGTAAGAGTGATGTCCTTGAGAAGGGCAAGAGGGGTGGAATCCACATCACAAGTGAATGGTTTGGTCTTTGAAAGAAGCAAGGAAACTTTATTCATAGTAGGAGTAGGGAAGGCATCTGGGTACAGGTGCAGTTAGGTTGGTAGATTTAATGATGGAGGGAAAAGAGAGATTTCCTATTGGATTTCTTATTTTCAAAGAGGTAAGCTCATTGAAGAGTTTGGGAAAAGAGGGTTAGATGCCAGGTTTGTAGAGGGAAGAGATGTTATGGAGTATCTATTTAACTGCCTGACGTATTCAACTTGCAAATGTTCCTTCTCAAGTAATGACCTGGTGTAATTTTTATCCCTCAGCTAAGAGGTTAGAGTCCTATCAGGAGGCTGTCTCTGAAGATGAGGATTTTACAGACACCCCCAGTGGCTCTCTGAACAATGTGGCGAAACTGAAGGCCCGCAGCTGCAGGACAGCTCATAATGGGCCTTTGGGAAGTAAACCCTCAAATCATCTTTCTGGAAGCTGTTTTGCTGTAGGAAGTGGAGATGGACCCAGTGAAGTGTCTCATTCCAGGCAGGCTGCTTTCAGTAGCCCCATTGTAAGTGTGAATGCATGATTACTCTTGCACATCCACAATGTATGATGAAAGAGCATCCTCATAATTATGATAGAACCCAGCACTGTTGTCTTTTCTACCTCAGAAAAGACTAATTGCTGCTCAGTGTGTGTGCTACCCATAATTAGAAGTTCAAACAAACAATCACAACTTCCTAATATTTGGACATAATTCAATGTTGAGATGTAGCATATAATTTCTGAAAAAAAAATATAAATATAAATATATAAATATATAAATATATATATATATATATATATATATATTTCTTGTCAGGGCAATCATGTCTGAGCCTGAGGAGGGGTACCTCGGTCTAGGGATAACTCTCAAAACCAGCAAAGCTTATCAAAGTTATCTCATAGACAGGTAAGTATGTCTAATTGATAGGGAAATTCAAAGGTCTTTTTGTGTCCTCTGAGACCATTTGCTGGAGAAGGATATCATGCTTCTTAAAGTGGTGGGTCAGCAAAAAAAGGGAAGGCCCTCAATGAGATGAATTGGCACAATGGCTGCAACGATGGGCTTTGGTATAGCCGGGATGGTGAGGCTGGCACAGGACCAGGCAGTGTTTCATTCTGTTGTACATAGGGTTGCTGTGAGTCAGAGCCGACTCGATGGCACCTAACAACAACAAAGACTTTTGTATTTCTTTGTAGCCTCCCTCTAAATCCCACCAAGCTTATATCCTCCTCCCTACTCTTACCTCCTGTAGGGGCATATTCTAATATTTCCATTTCAGAGGTCAATGTTACGTGTGTTTGAGTACTAGGGGAAGTGTCAGGAACTAACCATCTGGTCATACTCATTGACAAGTTCATTTTATAGCAGAAATTGTAGAAGACCATATGAAAAACAGTAAGCTAAGGAAAGGTGGTTGTGTAAAAGAGTTAAAAATCAAAAGTTTTGCTGTACTTAAAATTAATTCTATAAAGCATCTCCTTTATTTGTCTTTCACATTTCATTAACTTGTGTGTTTTACCAGCTATGACACTAGTAACTGGTTTGTGACTTCTGAAATGACTGACATGATAGGAATAAATTAGCTTTGGAGAACCTTTGTTCCACATTGAATTTATTGTATGATTTTTTCCAGTGGAAACTTGGTATGAGTAGACCCCAGCGGTGTGGTTTTTCTGGAGAAGCCCCTGGGGGGAGTCTCCAGGCTCTTTTCAAAGTTGCCAACAAATGTGCAATTGCAGCAATGGAATGGTCATTTCAGCCCAACTACGTTTCCATCTCTGGCACATAAGATAGAATACTGTTTCCTCATCTCTTTGCCACACATCAAGCCATTTCAAATACTGAGATTTAATGCCTTTCTGATTTCTGAAATAAGAAAGGAATGCACACAGCCCCAGCTCCCTACTCATTCTAAGACTGTATCAGAATTTATAAGAAATTTTCTTATACTTCAGCCTTTTACTTGTTGCACTATTGATCTTTCACACGTTCCACCCACCTAAAGTTAACCACATGTTAACTCACTAGTCCTGGGTAGTTAGGTATTGGGAACCAGCCTGGCCTGTGCTTCACCCTACCTCTTGGTTTTCTGATCCAGCCTCACACCTTCTTGAATTAAAAACCAGAACCAAAACCCAAACTCACTGCCATCGAGTCATATCCAATTCATAGTGACTCCTCCTTGGGTTTCTTAAGTGATATTTCTATGGAAGTTGTTTGCCCAATCTTCCTTCTGAGGAGTGGCTTGTGGGTTTGAACCACTAGCCTTCTGGTTAGTAGTCAAATGCCTTAGGCACTATGCCACAAGAGCTCCTTCTTACTCATTCTCTTGAATGAAGCCTCCCTAAAAGCAAATGATTTACCTCTTAGTTTCATGTTTTGTGCCTCATCTATGTCATTTCCCCTACAAAGCCTGTATTCTCCCCTCACGGCCTCCCTCTATCCACCAAATCTGATGAAATATTTATTTCTTTAGGAACTGCCTCAAATATCATGTCTTCTGAAAAGACTTCCCAGATATTCCCTTCTCTCAACTTCCATAGCTCTGTTTATGTATCCTTCCCTCCACTGGCCATGTTTCTGTCTGTGACATTACACCATTAGCTCTTTGAGAGCAAAAACTTACTCATCTTTAATCCTCAACATCCAGCACACCGTCTGGCACACCCATTCTTAAGAAGGTATACTTGAAGTTTGTTGAATGAAGCTGCTTAATGTCCTCAGTGTTCCCATTCAGTCAGTTTCACTCTCTTGCCCTATACTGTGATGTTCTATGCTCATTATGATTATATGGATGCTTCGGGGTTTTTGTTGTTTTATGTTTTTCAAAACTACACCCTATACATAAGATGAGGAGCAGTATAGGTTCAGTGGTGTAATTTTAGCTTTCCATATAGGTGACTTGGGTTCAGTAGCTGGTTAATGTACTTAATAGGTAGCCATTTCTTAAGTGGAGGCTTCAGTGTTGCTACAATACTGAACAAGTATCAGTAGAATTTTCTGAGTAAGACAAACAAAAAAGAAAGGCCTGGTGGTCTACTTCCAAAAAATCAATCAGTGAAAATCTATGTATCGCAATGGTCCCATCCCAATGTGCATGGGATCACCCTGAGTTGGGTGGCATGTAACAACAGCAGCACATACAGGATAGAGGATAGAGGATAGAGCATGCAACCAGTGGCACGTAACAACAGCAGCACATACAGGATAGAGGATAGAGGATAGAGCATGCAACCAGTGGCACGTAACAACAGCAGCACATACAGGATAGAGCGATCATGATGTCATGATCCTCCTTGAAGTGTGGACCCTCTCACACTGTAAATCTAGACAAGTTGATTTTATCTTTTTGGGGGACTAAAAATGACACTGAAAAAGCTAGAGATACTTTGACCTGAGAATGAACATCTGTAAACATTTTATACATAATCCCAAAAGCCCATTCATGGAGCCCAGGCTAAGAACACCACTAAGAGCTGTAATATGTAAGAAATGGAAGATTGTAAGATTGTAAAATGGGGAGGCAAGTTGAGAGCCAGAGAGCTAGAATCTTAGGCAGATTTCTGGCAAAGATAGGCTAGACTTTGGGAGTTAGATTTTCATCAAAGCCCAAGAGTTCTAGGTTGATACTACCTATTTTACAAGTAGAAACCTTTACTTTGTAAGCCAGAAGTCTTTGTGTTTTGGATGATCCTCTAGATTTTTTTACTCAACCGCATGCTGTCCATTCTACCTGAAATGCTTTTTCTCTTAGGTCTTTGTGTGGCTATCTCCTTCCAGTCATTGAGACCTCAGCTCAGATGCCACCTCCTTAGTGAAGCCTTCCCTGGCACCCATTCTGAAGTACTTTCCCTCGTCTCCCTCTGGTCTTTCTCTGTCCCAATCTTTTTTATCAAGTTGTCAGTTGCCATTGAGCTGATACAGATGAATGGTGACCCCATGTGTATCATAGTAGAACTGTGCTTCATAAGGTTTTTAGTGGCTAATATTGCAGAAGTAGATCATCATTTTTTTCCAAGGCATTTCTGGTGGACTTGAACCACCAACCTTTCAGTTAACAGCAAAAATGTTAATTGTGTCTATATCTGGAAGTTTCTTATTTATTTGTTCATGGGTTAGTTTTAGATTTCACATATTTCTCAGCTAGAATATGGATTCCATACAAGCCAGGATCCTGTCTGTCTTATGTACTTCTCTTTCTTTGAGAGATCGTTGGCATCATATTTATGGCATGAATGCATGAGTTAATGGATTAATGGAAGACAGTGACATAATACTGGATACTGGGCATATAAAATGAATAATACATGCCCTATATTCTCCAGTTTTGCTTTAGATAGAGAAGACAGACATATAAATAAATAATTGCAGTCCTTTATTAAAAATGTGATGTTGTTGTTGTTGTTTGCCATCGAGTTGTATCTGACTCATAGCGACCCCACCTTGGGTTTTACTATGGAAGTAGATTGCCCAACTTTTCTTCTGAGGAGTGGCTGGTGGGTTTGGACCACCAGCCTTCTGGTTAACAGTCAAGTGCCCTAGGCACTATGTTACCAGAGCTCCCCCAAATGTGATAATAGTAGCTAATCCTGAATATAGTGAGGCACAAGGAAGGGAATGACCAACTCTGAGGATATGAGGAGAGATCAAGGCTGCATCAAAGAAGTAAAACTCAAGTTAGGATTAAAGTAATGAATATGTTTTCACAAGGTAAGAAGGGATGTAAAGCTATTTGGAACAGACAGCACTTGATGCAGGAAGTAACACAGAACTAAAAGCCTAATGAGGGACCTTGGTGTGGAAGAGGAATTGTCAGTGATGTGGTTATTGGCCTTTGTCTTTTTTCTTCTATTGTTTTTAGGTACCATTGAGTCAATTTTGACTCATAGCGACCCCATGTTACAGGGTAGAACTGCCTTACAGGGTTTTCAAGGCTGTAATCTTTGTGTGAGCAGATCTCCAGGCCTTTCTCCCATAGAACTGCTGTGTGGATTTGTACTGCCAACCTTTCAATTAGCAGTCGAGCAGTTAACCACTTGTGCTACCAGGGCTCCTTTATCTTCAGGTTCATGTATTTAGGAATCTGAGGGGCCAGCAGAAGGCATTTGTATCCATACTTAAGCTAGATTGTTGAGGTAGAAAGATGAAACCTTCAAATTGGAATGGAGACGACAGCAGGAAATGAAATAAAAATCTTGGGTGCTGGTGGAATTAGGGGAGTGGTAGGGAGCTAAATCACATCTACTATGCCAAACTTCATCTCCTGCCTAGGGTGTCTTGCTCTATTATTAAGTCATGATACACCCATCTTCATTTATCAACATGATTAAGTTCTAAGGATCTTGTGAAAATTGGTGTTATGTGAAAATGGAGGAGGACTACATAGTTCTCCATTTCACAAAATAAAGGACAATCCTCCAGATCATAAAATGGAGAACAACTACATCCTACATACTACGTGTTAGCTGACACTCATTGATTGCTGTTGGATGACTCTGTGGGCAAGGTAGAATGTTGAGCACAGTAAAATATATCTCTGACTTAGTATATTTCAAAATAAAAAAACACACACCCAGCTAGGTTTTGGTGTATAGTATTGTTCCTATTTCCTATTTACCTTAAGGATAATAATCAAGATTTAAAAAAAAAAAAAAACAAACCTCCCTGCTGTTGAGTCAGTCAGACTCATAGCAACCCTGCCTTGGGTTTCCAAGGTGGTATCTCTATGGAAGTAGATTGCCCAATCTTCCTTCTGAAGAGTGGCTGGTGGGTTTGAAAGGCCAGCCTTCTGGTTAGCAGTCAAATACCTTAGGCATTATGCCACCAGAGCTTTGTAATGTGGATATTTGTGTATTTGAGTTTTCCATTTTATTTGTATTACAGTATTTTTTATTTCTGTATTCTAACTTCTCATGATAGCTTATGCATTACTTTTTTTAGGAAAATGAAATTGACTATCTCATGCTTCATAGTTTTGGGTTATGGAATACTACTACTTGTATTGATTTAAAATTCTAAATTTCAGGTACTATAATAACACTTTGTTCTATTGGATCTTCAGGAAACAGATGTGGTACCAGACACAAGGCTTTTGGACAAGTTTAGTCAGATTACACCTCAGCTCTTTACTTCACCAGATGTGACTGTCCACGGTCCTCCACTGGAGATTTTATGCATTATGGACTTCTTCATTGCACTGGCAATTTGCAACACAGTAGTGGTTTCTGCTCCTAACCAGCCACGACAAAAGGTAACAAGCAAGGATAAGCTTCCAGAAGTGAACTTTGCGTTTAAATGTATTTGTACTGGTCTTGTTATGTGGGTAATAATAGTAACACCAGGTAACATTTATTCATTATTTATTGCAGTATTCTAAGTGCTTTACCTGAATTAGCATATTTAATCCTCCCAATAATCCTGTGCATTAGATACTATTACTCTACTGCTTCAGTTTTACAAATGAGGTGAAAAAACTTGCCCATGATCATACTCCCAGTTTGTTGCATTTGAGGAAGTGGGATTTGAACTCAGAAAGTCTGGCTCAGAAATATGACACCATTTTGCCTCTAGGAGGATAGCTGATGAGAGTAGTCTGTGTAGAATGTCACTTTGTTCGTTTTGCTTTGGTTTCCCTACCAAATTAGAGCTTTCTTTGGGACTTCTGGGGCCAAAAAACAGCATGTACTGTGTCAAGTACATATAAAGTAAAATATAAAGTAGTGGTTTCATTTAGATATATATATTTTATCTCTCCCCCCCACCTTGTTCTTAAGAATTATCATGATTATACTTAACTGAGTCTTTTTCTCATGTACCAATTGGTTTAGTTTTGCACCTAGAATAGACCAAGCTTCGGCAGCTTCCCAAAATGCCAGATTTTAAAGCATGTTCGTGGTTTAGAATTCATTTCCAACTAAGGAGAAAAACTTGTTTCAGAAACTGGTGGTTTCTGCTTGCTGTGGTGGCTTCCTCATTTATAACGATCCCCCAGGCCCATGGACACATCCACCTAAATTCAATTTCTAGCACAATCCAATTAAATTTTAATCTTCCATGAGATCATTTTATTTTGTCAACTTCAGAGGTGATCAACTTTAGTACAAAAATAATTTCCTCCCAGTTAAGGTTCATTTGATTGGAAACTGTAGTTTTACAAGGTTTTAACAATAAAATTGCTCTTTGAAAAGTGATTACTGTCAGTCTTCCTTATTATCCATGAATTCTATATCCATGGATTCAAACAATCATGCATCTGAAATATTAAGGGAAAAAAAAATGGCTTCTGAAAAGCAATTAAGTGGTCAGGACTGTCCCTCAAAGGCTAAGAGGAAGTGTAAAGTGCTATTTATATAGCAGTTACATTGTATTAGGTATTGTAAGTAATCTAGAGATGAATTAAAATATATGCAAGGATGTGCATAGGTTACATGCTAATACATTGCCATTGTATGTAAGGGACTTGAACATCTGTGAATTTTGGTGTCCAGTGGGGTCCATGGATACTGAGGAATGACTGTATTCTCATACATCCATTTCCAAAGTAAACAACTCTTGGTGCCTTTTGCTTAAGGAATACTATTGCCTTATCTCCAGTGAAATTTCTAAGGCACTCTGGTGGTATAGTAACACATTCTGTTGCTAACTAGGTTAGTGGTTCAAACCCACCAATTGCTCTATGGAAGGAAGATGCAGTCTACTACCATAAAGATTTGTTGTTGTTGTTGTTATATGCCGTCGAGTCAGCCCTGACTCATAGCGACCCCTCCTTGGGTTTCCGAGGCAGTATCACTACGGAAGTAGGATTGCCCAACCTTCCTTCCGAGCCATAAAGATTTACAGCCTTGGAAACACAATGTGGATCACTGTGAGTCAGAATCAACTTGATGGCAGTGGATTTTGGCAGTGGGTTGCCTTATCCCTAGTGAAATTTCTATTGTTTGAAAGAAAAATCTCTGAAGGTATATAAAAGCCTAAGTTTCATGACAATTCAAGGCAGTGATAGGAAAGTAGTGAATAAGATGCCAATTGGAATTCATATGGAATACAGAAACCTTATCTGAGATTGAATTTCATTCTTCTTATCAGAGATGGCAATAAGATTGAGAATCAATCAGCATGTGTACTTCAAAATAATACTTATTATAAAATTAGTATTAGGATAAAACTTTTGTAATTCCTAGGACATTTCTGATTGGGAAAATTTTAGGATTCAATTAATGAGTCTTCCATAATTAGTACTAAACTCTAAGTTTAATCACTAATAAAGTTAACATCTAGAAGAAAAAGAAAAAGTTCTATAAAAATAGAAAATCAAAACTACATCCTGACATTGATAACTCTTCTTCCTTAAGCTACTTTTGCTTTCTGGCTTTTTTTTTTTTTTTAAGTCAAATTGCAACCTTTTGTAGAAGTTGGGAAATGAAAGGGGAAATCTTATTTTGTTAACTTTTGATTTACTTTCTTCCAGTATTATTTCATATAATCATTTTTACTTATTCTTATATTGCTCACATTGTTTTTATAGCCTTTTCAGTGTTGTCCCATATTCTTTGTAAACTTTATTTAAAAATATACAACATTAGAAAATGTTTCTATTTTATTATTGAATACTTAATTTTCTTATAATTTAAAAATTATTTTTATTGGGACACATACAATAAACATTATGGGTTTTCTAAAATTTGAATTATTTCCTTAGGAAAAATTGTTGTAAGTATTCTCTTTGGGTCAAATAATCTGAGCATTTTATGCTAATTGATATCAGAAGTTGCTATCAATTTCTTTCCTAAATGTTTATAGAGTAATGTCATTGATATTAGCAGATCTTTTTTTAAAATCATAGCTATCTATGGATATATAATCTTAGTCATATATGGATAACCAAACTATGGTACATATACATGATGGAATACAATGCAACATTAAACAGTAATGAAGAATCTGTGAATCACCTCATAATGTGGATGAACTTGTCATGAAATAAATCAATCACAGAAGGACAGATATTGTATGAGTCTGTTCTTATAAAAAGTCAAGGAAAGGTTTACACAGGGAAGAGAATTTACTTTGTTGGTTACCAGGAATGGGAGAGAAGGGGAGGAAAAATTGCTGACTATTTAAAAATCATGTTGTTGTTTTTATGTGTCGTCGAGTTGTCTCCTACTCATAGCGACCCCTCCCTAGGTTTCCAAGGCAGTATCACTATGAAAGTAGATTGCCCAATTTTCCTTCCAAGGAGTGGCTGGTGGGTTTGAACGACCAACCTTCTGGCTTTTATTTTTATAAATATTTTCTATGACTATTTTAAGTATTTGTGTATCTAGTTTTTTCCCAGTTTGACTTCAAAGTTGCTTTACACTGCTTTTGACTGTATTATTGAGACCTTCATAAATTATCTTTCATAGATAAGACTCTCATCACTGAGTGGAATGCCCATTAAGTCCTTGGAAGAGATTAAAAACCTCTTCCAGAGATTGTCTGTCCGAAGATCAAGTTCACCATCTCTTGCCAGTGGGAAAGAGCCATCTTCCGGAGTTCCAAATGCCTTTGTGAACAGAGTGTCTCTCTTTAGTCGAATGAAAATGGCTTCACCTGTGGAGGAAGAAGTCTCCCAGATGAACAAGAGTCTCCAGGGCTCTAGTAACTCAGCTTGCAATGAAGAAATAGAGAAACAAAATAGTGACCCAGGTATCACCAATGGCAAGGTGGACTCTCTCCCTGGAGAGCCCTTGGCCTCGGGCCTCTGTTATGAGGCTGAGAGCCCAGATGAAGCAGCTTTAGTGTATGCTGCCAAGGCTTACCAATGCACCTTACGGTCCAGGACTCCTGAGCAGGTCATGGTGGACTTTGCTGCTTTGGGACCATTAACATTTCAACTCCTACACATATTGCCCTTTGACTCAGTAAGAAAAAGAATGTCTGTTGTGGTCCGGCACCCCCTTTCCAACCAAGTTGTAGTGTACACGAAGGGTGCTGATTCTGTAATTATGGAGTTGCTATCCATGGCCTCACCAGGTAGGTACACATAGAACTGAGATGGTAATGATGTGAAGGGCTCTGAGATTCAAAGCCCATTCTCTGTGGCTTCATACAGGAAAAGAAGCAAGTATTTGGGGATCAGTCAGCTGTGAAGTACTTGGTGAAAAAGCATATAAGCTTTAGGGATGCACAGACCTGGGGTCGAATGTGACTGTCATTAGCTGGATCTTGATGAAGTTACCCAACTCTTCTCTGCCTAGCTCATATTCTGTTCAGTGGAAATTATATTCCATGTTTCATAGGTTCTTGAGAGGTTTAAATCAGAAGTTTAAATATATAAAATGTATGCCAAGTCTTTGACCAAGTGCCTAGCAAATAGTAAGTGCTCAATAAATGACAGCGAACATTTATTGTTACTGTTACTCAATTGTTATTGTTATTAATGATGTGGGAACTGTGTGTGTATTAAGTTCTTGGTTAATTTCCTCTCCACAAGGAAAAAGTAATAAGGGAAATATTTATTCTGATGGGGTCTCTTTTATAGATCCACATTTGTGAATCAAAACGAAAAGCTTTTTTTGTCTGTTGTGGGTTACACTATCATTCTTTTAAAAGATATGTGTGTAATAGTGCAGACTGCTGGGGATTCTGATGTTTTGTTAATTATTGCAGATGGGGCAAGTCTGGAAAAGCAACAGATGACAATAAGGAAGAAAACCCAGAAACATTTGGATGACTATGCCAAACGAGGCCTCCGCACTTTATGTATCGCAAAGAAGGTGAGACCACTTAGTCCATCTGTGGTTTTTGTTGTTTCACTTGTTTGACCATCATTTACTGAAAATCAGTGTGTATCAAACCCTCATCTAGGCACTGGGAAAGTCCTTTATTCAATATCTTGGTGTTGGAGTTGGTCTTCAGGAGAATGTCTATGAATATGGTCTCTGAGTTACATGTTTCATTGGCTAAGACACTTGCCTGCTAACCAGACGGCTGGCGGTTCAAACCCACCAGCCACCCCTCTGAAGGAAGGTTGGGCAATCCTACCTCTGTAGTGATACTGCCTCGGAAACCCAAGGAGGGGTCGCTATGAGTCGGGTTTGACTCGACGGCACATAACAACAACAACAACAATGCCTATATATGGGAACAGCAGTTTAGCTGGGAACAAAAATCCCTGGATTCTACTTTCTTTTCCCAAGGGCTTTGAGAAAATTGCTCCTTTTCTTATAGTATTAAGGTACTTTGGAAAAATGAGGTCAGATACCAGCCTCGAATTTCCTCTCATGAGTTCTTGATTTGTCTTTCCTAAGTACCCATAAGAGTCTTTACCTGTAAATTCAGGTAAATTTACTATGCTATTATCTCAGTATTGACTATTCTCCATTATATTCCTTTGGAACATAGTGTGTTCTTTTTAAATAAAAACTTAGTAAGAAAGAAGACAGAGCTTGTAAAGACATGATTTGAGAGATGTTATTACAGAGATCACGTGATAGAATTTTATGATGCTAATGACCTCTCTCAACAATATAAACAGGAACTATATATATATATTCATGGACCTCACCAGATGGAATACACAGGAATCAGAATGACTACATCTGTGGAAAGAGACAGTGGAGAAGCTCAGTATCATCAGTCAGAGCAAGGCCAGGAGCTGACTATGGAATAGACCACCAATTGCTCATATACAAGTTCAAGTTGAAGCTGAAGCAAAGTAAAACAAGACCATGAGAGCTAAAATACAACCTTAAGTATATCCAACCTGAATTTAGAGACCATTTCAAGAATTTGATTCATTGAACACCAGCTGAAGACCAGATGAGCTGTGGGATGACATCAAGGGCATCATACACGAAGGAAGCAAAAGGTCATTAAAAAGACAGGGAAGGAAGAAAAGACCAAAATGGAAGTCAGAAGAGACTCTGAAACTGTCTCTTGAATGTAGAGTATCTAAAGTAAGTGGAAGAAATGATGAAATAAAAGAGCTGAACCGAAGATTGTGAAGGGCAGCTTGAGAAGACAAAGTAAAGTATTATAATGAAATGTGCAAAGACCTGGAGTTAGGACCAGTACAAAACACTATCCCATTGCATTTCAAAATAAATCAGGAAACAGTGGAAGGAGGAGGAAGTTTTGCTTAGAGGAAAGAGAGTCTAGTAAGGGCTAGTGCAAGAGAAGCATATGCTTATGGGGAGGGAAGAAAGTTAATTATAAACTATAATAGAGATTTTAATCAACACTGAAACTTAGAAACAAAGAACAACCAGCCCACATGAGAAAAATTCTGGAGAAGACCCAAAGAAGTTACTCCAGACACCTGTCTTCCTCTTCTTTACATCTCCCACACTGCTGTCTCTTTCTCCCTGTCTCTGTTTCTGAGTCCTCAAGTTGATTTATGGTGTTTCAGAAGTTAGAGTATCAATTTTCTCTCCTCTGTTCTGAATTCTAACTAGTAGAGAAGACAATGATATACATACAGATCAAAGGATCACTGTTGTTAATAATTCAATAATTTCCAAAGTACAGGGCTGTTTGGAAAGCTAAATTGAAGACGGTTGCTGGGATTGAAAATCAAGGTAGAGCTTTTTCATTGCCCGCCCCCCCCCCCCCAAATTCTAGTTCTTAAGAGTTTCCTTTAGGGAGAATGGGCTCTATTAAAGACCCCAAGACAATCAGTTCACTGCATGGAAGATCAACCTGCCTAATGTACCTAGTTTCAGAAAGAATGGAAAGTTTAAGATAGAACAGATGCTCTGATCTTTCAGTGACATGATCATGATCTGGCCCTTATAAAAATATAGACCAGTGAAATACAAGTACTGTATGAGCCCATTACTGTAAAAAGAAAAGAAGGGTTTCCTTGGGAAAGGGAACTCACTTTGTAGGTAACTGGGATGGGGAGAGAATGGGAGGGATTGATTTTGGGTTAGTTGGGGCCCACATGCTGACATGGGTAGGGGGAGGAATATACAGAAAGGATCTGTGACCACCATGATAAGATTAGGAAATGGGAGGACACCGAATTGTGCACATAAAAGATAGATGACAGATGCTAACACCAACCAATGTGTCCACAATACTGCATTGCCATTAACACCAAACACCAGGCTACAGATAAACACGTAAACACCTGAGAGGATCAGATAGGGGTCAGTGAACAGGAGTATACTCTAGACCAACGATAGATTCAGCTGAGGCTAATCTTGCACAGACACCAGT